ATGTGAAATGTTGAAAAAAATCAAGTGAATGGTTGTAAAAATAATAATAATGATTAATTTAAGGGACTTAAAAGAATATTTTGATAGAATTAAAGTTAGTTTCGATTTGGTAAAATAAATTAGTATTGAATATAAGTTAATGATATTTTTAGAATATTTATACGGCATGAGTTATTAAGTTAATTTAAGTATTAATATATATTAAAATAATATATGAAGTTGATAATTATTCTATAAATATTTTATATTAAAAAAGATATAAGATTTAAATAAAAATCCAGTGTATAAAACATGAGAGTTAATGATGCACGAGGTGGAGTGATTGTTGAATACTATACATATCACTCAATGTGACTCATGTACATTTGTGATGCATGAGGTGGAGTGATAATTAAATATTGCACAGACCACTCAATAAAACTCATGTACTATTGTGGTGTATAAGGTGGAGTCATAATTGAACATTTTAATGAGACTCATGTATCTTTGTGGTGCATGAGGTGGAGTGATAATTGAATATTGTATTGATCACTTAATGAGACTTGTGTACCTTTGTGGTGCATAAGAGGGAGTGACTATGTGATACATGTTTATATGGCACCTATGATGAAATTTTACGAGACACTTTCGAGTGCAAATAATCTACGAGGTACTTTTAAGTGCATACAAGTGTACACTTAATGAGACTCGAGTATCATATATTCTCATGATTATGTACTGGGTTATAAAATAAAATTAAAGAAATACTACAATAAATAGTATAGTGTATAAAACAGTACATTATAAGATATAGAACAATATAAGAGAAAGGAACAAGATAGAAAAGACAAACAATATTAGAAAAATGTGTATGTACATGCGTGTGTCAGAATGGAACGAAGAAGATAAAATAAATAAAATATGAAATATTCTTATAGTACTATATCAAGAAGAAAGTGACAACTGTCATAATAGAATAAATTTTATATTAATTAGCATTTTTCATAGTTATATAATGGATGTCTCTCTAAATTATAGATAATTAAGGTTAAAAGATAATTAATTAATTTAAGGGAGTTGACATGTAGAACGTGGAGTTATGATACTAATTGTTTTCGATAGGTGGTCGCGTGGCGGTAGATAACAACCAAAGGAAATCTTTTATTAAATAAATCGACTACAGACATTTCAGATGCTCATATATGAATGCGAGAGTAATATTAAAACGTGAAATAAAGTAATATGGAAATATATATATAATAAAAACAAGAGACATAAATATAACAAGATGATAATAATACATTATGTTATAAAGGTTAATTGATTAAATTTTAAATTAGGCAATTTTAAAATATGATATGAAATAGTATTAAATTGCTCAGATACTGTACGAAACCATATGTAAATTGAAAATTAAAATATTACATTTTGATTTCATATAGGTAAATAGTCTGATAATAAATATTAAATTATAAGATTTGAAAAGAAACAAAATTTTATCGGTTTCAAACAGGAAATGTTATACAGAATCTTGGTGATATCCTTAATTTGTATATGAGTACGAATGTGAGTTAAGGTGTTACATCTGCCCCTCCCCACATGTAAGTTATTTTTTTTCTATCTAATCATATTAAAAAAATTAAAAATAAAAATCAATCCGGTGGTAGCATGTGACATTAATGACATGCGTTACGATCGTATATTAACATGTGTCACCTCTTGATTAAATGATTAATTTATAAAAATAAATTAAATTATAATTAAATTAATAGAAAATATAAGTATTGATGATCAAATATACAATTAGGGATAGGCATGAGATCTAGATCCGACAGGTTCCAACCCGACGGGTCATGTTTTTTCTTTTAAAATTCATGTTCGGGTTAGATTCAGATTAAACACTAAAAAATCTGACGCGATCCAACACATAATTTTTAGTGTATTTACAAAACTTCCACCATATATATGTCTTAGGGTTTCGACATTTTTTCCCTACTTTCTCCTTTTTCATCTTTTGCTGCGGTTCCAATTACCTGTCTGTTTTTTCCCCTTTCAATTATTTTCTTTTCCTTTGCTTTGTATTTCTTCTCAATGATTTAATCTTTTTCTTTTCATCTTCTATTTTCCATCTTCCTTTGTTCTTCTATTTCTTCTATTTTTTAACCATTTTTACATTGAATCTGAAATTCTATAACTTAGAAACTAAAGTCTTGAATTTCAAATCCAATATATACTGAATCTGATTTTTAATCTGTAGTAAGTGTTATGTATTTTCGGTTCAAGCATTAGATTTTCGGGTCAATTCGGGTTGATTTCGATCGGATCAACCTTTAGATTTTCGGGTCAAGTCGGGTTAGTTTTGGTTCAGATCAACCTTTAGATTTTTGAGTTAATTCGGTTTGTTTTTGTTTAGGTCAGTCGTCTTCACTCTTTATCGTCTTAATCATCGGTGCTGCTCTTTATAACTTTAATTCAGAAAATTTATCTGATTACATGTTGTCACATCCCAAATTTGGGACTAAAAGTTTTAGTTTAAATAAATTAAATCAAATTATAATCTTTGGAAGTATAAAAATAACTTTATAAATGTAACAAATTTTAGGATTGATTGTAGTATTAACCCTCAACAATTTTTTACTTTTGTTATAACCAATTATCATTTATCATATTTAAAAAAATACATTATATATATATATATATTAAAAATTTATAAGTGAGTTTTACATACAAGAATAGTTGAATGTCATTATTTGACTTGATTTGTGTCTTTAGTCTTTGGATTAATTTTGAATGAGAACTTTTTATTTAACACTTGTATTCAAATTTTATTTTATTTTAAAGTTAATTATAATCAATCGTATGAATAATTTGAATTAAAGATATCACATAAATTCAAATTTTTTGTTTCAATAATTTTATTTTATAATATCCCCTATCAAAAATAATATTTTAGAATGATTTAAAAGTTATTGGATATAGAGATGGTCTTTTAATAAAGTAAAGATTATATTGAACTATTAAACGATTATTAAATGTGGTGATCAACTAATTGTACAATATAAAATGAGAATAAAAAAATATATCATTCTATTATTTATCTAATTATTAAAATTAGATAATAATAATAATAATAATAATAATAATAATAATAAATTATTTGTTCACTTAGATTCCATTATCGGGTTAAAATAAATTTTGGTTCAAATCAGCTATAGGTAAATTAAATTTGGGTTGCTTTTGATTCGGGTTGATTTTCGGTTCGGGTTGTTTTTGGTTATGGTTACTTTCAGTTCAGGTTGATTTCGGTTAAACTATAATTCGGGTTGATTTCGGTTCAATTCGGTTTATTTCGGATTTCAGATCAATTTTAGGTTATCATATTTGAGTCTATATCGGATCTCGATTCGAATAATCGGATACGAGTCAAATTTGTCCGGTCTAACAATTGTTTACTGAAAAATATGAGCGAATATGTAAAAACCTTTAAAAAATAATGATTAATCCAATAACATGTCTATTTCAAAAATATTTCATAGAACATCGCAATCACATTATTTTATGATCTCTATCAATTAAAAGAATTTATATCTCATTTTTATTTTATTTAGATAGTAATAGCATATTTTCTAAAACACGATTTTTCCTAATAACATATATTAAAATATAATATTTACACAATTTAAAAAGAAGAAGATAATATTTACTTTTATTTTCTATTGAAGAATCTCCCTCCTAAGTTAGGGGCATCAAAACAACAAAAATCTCCTTTCTAATCCCCTTCTTTCTTTATTCTCGAATTCAAATCCAAAAGTCTAATAATAAATTTTTTATTTATTTATTCTCATTTAAAAATCTCTAATTAATGAGACGCTTACTCTTTCGTCGGCTCTTTCATTTTTAGTGTTCACACTTCTAGCATTCTTAGTGTTCGAATCTGAGATCTCAATGAATAACAACGATTTCTTTATTACTGTGACATTTCTAATAGAAGAACAGAGCGGAATTCAAATTACATCTCTTAAATCTGATTATATTTCTCAGCATAGATAATATCATTTATAATAACCCTATAAATTATATATCTTAAATAGAAATTCACATTGATAATTTCCCTCATAATTTTAAAGTTAAAATATATTCTCTATATATAGACTCAACCATTTGATCACAAAAAAATTATTATATGGAACTTCTTAACTTAGTTATTAAATAAATTCAGTCACTAAATAATATTTAACACTTAAATTACATTAAAAAACAACCCAATCTTAAATTAGAATTTGAATATTTAATCACTGAAATTAAATTAAAATTTTGATTTTAACTATGCACTAAAATTTTGTTTCAACACGTAACAACAAGCGTCTTACAATCGTGAGATGACTCAACCATCTATTACATCGAATTTTAAATTTGAATGGTTGCATAAGACTCTATTTATTCCATATTAATAATTTCTAAAACAATTAACATTTAGTTTATTATAATCTAAACAAAATTCAGTGATTAACAAATTTACTTATCATGGTTGGTGTAATGAATGATACACGTTGTGATTTTAAATATTTTTTTAATAGTTTGAGATAATTATAAAATAATATTTTTATATCTGTTGAAAAAAATAATCATTAATGACGCACATATTCTACAAATATAACTATTTAAATCTATACTTTTAATTACAAATGACATTTTTCTTAATTATTGAGGCCCACTCAATAGATTCACATTTAAAAAGAAAAATCAGGATTTATGATGAAAACTAACAAATATTATCTAAATAGATTTATTCGTTAAACAAATTTTAACTAATAGAAGTATAATAACAGGAAATTTTATTATTAATTAAAATTTGAACTAATATGTGATATGGAAAAAGGGTAGAATTTGATCGATAAAGAAGAAAGTCAAATTTTATAGTAACAATACATACATGTCTTGTCTTACTTTACAGGAAAAAAAATGGTAAAATGATGAAACGTGATTGCTTCTTTGGTCCACATTTCTGGTTAATTCAACAATTGAAGACACCAATGCATCAGCCAAACAACAGAGAAAGAAGCCAAGCCAGCAAGGCATTCATAAACAAATATTTTTTCTTCCCTTCACTTATAATTTTCCCTTTCTGGCATTCACATGGAATCCATTTAGTTTTCTTCAATTTCGACTACCCTTTACATCAATCACCAGTTATTTCTTTCTTTTCTGTGATAATCATTTTTTAACATCCCAAATAAAAAAAAATCTTTTTATTTTTTTTTCCTTTTGTGTTTCGTGAAGATCTGGTTGGTGGTGGATCCATGGGGAGGTTATTTTTGCTGAATCTTGAAGGAAGGCTTATAGCTGCAAGCACTGCAAAAACCATATTGCTCTTTGTGATGATATTGTCTCCAAGGCTGTTTTTCTTCTTAAATTTTATTCCTTTAACCCTAATTTGTTTGGCTGTACCGTGTTTGTGTAATGGCGGTTCTAATTATGATTAGGGGATACCTTAGTTTCCATCGTTTTATTAGTTCACAGCATTTATTACTACCAGTATTTAGAACACAGCTTTATTTTGGATGAAATTTATAATTAGTGGGTTCAATTGTTGATTAAATTGAGATTTCTTCTATCATTAATCTAGGAATTTGGATATTCCATGTTTTCTTTCTTCTGGTTTATGGTGCAATGGAATTAGTATTTTGTTTTGCAAGTTTAATGGTTCTTCTATGTTAAATTTGTCATAGAAAAACTGGATGGATGCTTGGAGGATTTCAATTATGTTGCTATCATCTCTTTTAAGGCATAGATGATAATTTGGTGTCCTTTGCAAGGACTTGGCGCTTTGATGATAGCAAATTGTTGGTTGGTATTTTAAGACGAGCATGATGTTTAATGTATTTTGTTTTGCTTTCCCGAGGACTTGTGCTAGAGATTAAACCTACTATGTACTGTGTAAATGTTATTCTCAATCATGAATGTTAGATTTTGCATATTTGGTTTTGTGATAATAGATACTTTGTACTACCGACAAAGTCGTAAAATGATGCTAATGTGAAGAAGATGGTAGCCGTCTTATGCATTCAAATTGCTTGAAAATGCTTATACTCGACTTAGGAACTGGTTAGTGGATGATAACTATGGTAAAGAACGAGGATGTATTATTGCTTAAGTATTTAGTAGTTATATATTTCATACGCATATTGGTGTAGTCGATTTCAGGGTTTTTTGGGGTGCTCACATTGATACTAATTATTTTCCTGGTGTTGGGAAAAAATATTGTTTGGGGTTCTCTTATACGCATATGGGAAAGCATATCTCTTCAGCAAGGTGTAAGTTTCCTCCGTTTTAGACACCTCATTTGTGCGTGTTAAACAACTACTGTAATATTTGCCCATGCTATAAGGTTTCGGGCTACTTCTATAACGATACAAGTAATGACGGTGTTGTCAAACTATGTTGCACTCATAGTCTCTTGCTTAACCGTTGATGAAAAATTGTTCTTGTTGAATTCATTGTTGGTTCTGGTAATTTGTTTTGTTCATTTAGAGCAAGGCAATAACATTGCATTTTCAAGGATATATATTCCAAGTTCATGGACATCCCCACTTGCGTGATCTTTCGAGAAAATGGGATTTCAAGTTATCGGTACGGAGTGCTTGTTTTCATATATAGTTTTCATCTCCCATTGTTTCTCAGAGTAAATGTCACTTCTGGAGAAAAAGAAGATAGAATGATGATGATGGGACTGCACACCGTGGCCGACATCTTCTGTGTTGGATGTGGATCGATTATTGGTTGGAAATATGTAAGCTTTAGTATTACAATTTTGGAGTTCATGGTTTAATGCATCTATGCTTGTTTCTGTTGATTACATGGATTGTTTCTGTTTCTTTTAGGAATTTGCCCATGAGAAGAACCAGAAGTACAAGGAAGGAAAATACGTCCTTGAACGGTGGGTGAGTAAATCATAAATATAGCAACTCCGGTTTCGGGTTAGGGAAGGATGTTCTTAGCAGAGGTTTGTGGATCATGATGTCGAACAGGTTTAAGGTGTCTAGTCCCGATGGAAGCGACTACTGGATCAACAATGGAAGACATGTGGGTGGGTGGGTGGGTGGGAGTGATGCAGATGATGCTTGATTAACAAATGAAATATGGTCAAATTCCAAATTGTACATTCTTCAACCCTTAAATCCCATTCAATGCGAGTCCTTGAAAACCAGACTTATTTAAGCAGCTTGTCCAACTTGCCGTGAAAAAAAATGTACAAAAATGATTGAAAACATTGAATTGTTGATTATATCTTGGTGTTGAAAGATGATCAGAAATATTCTGTTTTTAAATGTTGTCATTAAAAATTGGGATAAATTACGCATTTAGTCACCATCTATTTATGTGGTTTTGTTTAGGTCATTTAACTATTTTTGTTCAAAATCATATATAACGTTACATTTTGGTTAAGTTTAAAAAATTAACGGTGATGTTGATGTGTTACCATAAAGTAATGTCAAGTCATCATTGAAGAAGAATAAAATATTTGTCATGTTAACAATTCTTTTATTTTTTAATGGCAGGTGATTGAAATCTAATGTTAGATATGATTAAAAAATTAATTGGGTGACCAAAATATAATAAGAGAATACGTGAGTGATTAAATACAGAATTTATCCTAAATAATAACGGAGGAAAGCTTTATCCGTTAGCCATTAGAGGTGGCTTCCCTAAACACATATTCAGTCCATAAATAATAATAATGCAACAATTAGGTAAGGCTCATGCAATTGCCCCTGCCCCTCTAATCTAATGGCATAAACATTAAACACTAACCTTTGGGCTGTTTGTTTGTTTTTTTAACTAATTTTGCCTGCTTGATTCATCTTAATACAAAATTAGAATACGCAGCATAAGAGTTAGGCCTAACTAAGGACCCAAATTGTATAATAATATTAAATATGAAGCAAAGAAGAAAGCCCACACGATTTGAATTTCCCATACCAAGTCACCCCATTATCTCCAACAACCAACTTCATAACTTATATGATTAAATAATAGTAAAAAGATAAATCATCCTTGTATCAATAACTTTTGTTATTAATTTAATCTTAATAATAATAAATTATTATATAAAAAATAGAGGAAAAATAACATTAAATTAAAATAAAAAAAAATTAGCACGAACCAATTTACCTCAGGAGTTAAAAGAATCGTTGTTGTTGTCGTCAGATGTCATGTGTTCAAGCATCAGCGTCCCCAACAGGATAATTTAGCATATATTGTCAAATGGTTGATAATATTTAGAACTGATACTATTTTGTAATCATCTTAGCTTAATAAAAAAATATAAAATCCAAAATTTTAGCATAATAAAAGGACTAAAATCATAATTAGACTAAAATAATATCCAAAGGGGATTTTTTTTTAAAAAAAGAGGGTTGTTATCGTGATTATCCATCCACCTAAAAGCGAAACCCCCCTAATAACGTAGCTTTTAAGGGAGGGAAAAGGAAACACTGAGAGTTCCAGTTACAGTTGTACCGTCATTCAAGATTTCCCTCCAATTCCCATTTAACCCCTCCCTCCATCCCCTTATTCATCTCCTTGCCACTCTCCGCTATTGTCGTCTCCCTCTTCAACATTCCCTCCTCTTCCTCATGTCGTATCGTCTTTCGAGCTCCAGAGCTCAACCTAACTCTTCCAAAACGCCGCGTTTTGAAGTACTTTGATACTTGAGAAAAAAAATCTGAGGAAGGTGAAGATGAATCGGAGCTTTAGGGAAGAAACAGTTATGAAAGTGGCGGCCTTGAAACAACGGCAGCAATTAAGAACTTCGATGATGAAAGAGAAAGAAGAAGAGCTTTCATTGTTCCTCGAGATGCGAAGACGTGAGAGAGAACAGAGTAGTCTTCTTCTTAATCACTCCCCCGAAGACTTCGATTCACCTTTAGGTAAAGTTTTAAAAAATTCTTAGTTTAGCTATGTAGTTTTCATTTGTTTTTCCCTCTTAGTTTAGTATTTTTTTAAATTGTAGGATCTAAATCTGGAGCTTCACCGATATTTGATCTTTTGGCTTCCACAACTACTCCGGTGAGAAATACGGGTGATACGGCTGGTGATTTTCTTAATTGTGATAGTGATAAAAACGACTATGAATGGTAATTTGCTCTGCTTTTTGATTCTTTTTATTTAAAAATTAATTTATCAATAGGTGGTTTGACGGAAAGCAAATGCTAAAGCCGCCTTTCAAATTTGAAGTGAATATTTTTGTTTTTGGTTAACGGGATGATTATGTTAGATTTGGCTTTAAAATTCAGTTGTTTCTTTACTTGTAATTAAGTGTATTCTTGTTTTGTTTTGTTAGCTTTTTAAGAATCATATTAAGATAAATTACCAAACAGTACGGAAGCCATAGGAACAACCAAAGAAATTCTTGATTTTGTTACTCATATGCTTAGCTTAGCTTTGCATTGGGGGTTAATATATATATATATATATATTGCTAGGTTTCAGTTAATTTGATTAAATTCGGCTGAAGGATTAATAAAACAATAAGAAGGTAGAGGAAAAGAACAAGAAAAGTGGATGATAATTATGGATGACATGTGTGATTGATTAAAGGTAATAAGTTGATGGTTGTGGATGAGCATCTTTTACATGTGCCCTGGGGTCACCAGCAGCAACTAGGGCGTTTGTATTTTCTAAACTTTGGGTTGGCATGGCAGCTTTTTTGTTTTGGCTGCTTTGAATTAAAGTATTGATGACGTCTTGTACCCTGAACTGAATATAGTTTATGTTTCATTATTATGAACTTCTTCATTTTTCACAGTCCAACTTGATTAGATCTAGATGCCATGTTTTATGAACCCTATTATATTCCTTTACTTATTGCTTTTCCATTGTTTCTCTAAAGAAGTTAGAAGGATGCTAATTGTTGCTGCCACTTCATGGGCATATCTATACTAGTTGACTCAAAACGGCAAAGATCCAGATTTCCAAAAGAAGCCAAATGCTCATCATTTACGCCAAAGATTTAGATAACATATTTTAGATTGTTTTTTTTTCTAACTAGATTCCGAAGCTTTGATATAAATGATAGGGACTGGACTGGGAACTTCATTTATTGGTTGGGCTAAAGCCCATAGTAAGGATGGAAAGCATTGATGCTTGGTAGCTTGTGTGAATCATGATGGTCTAACCAAAATTTGATTACCTTAAAGGGACCTTTTTTTAGTTTGCTGTAAGGATTGAAACCATGAACATATCTTGTAGTATTAGTCAGTACGTAATGTTGAACTGGTTATAAGTTCAGAAGAATCTTAATTTACTGAAACTTTGAAAGAATGAACTTTTGTTGTATACATGCTTGTCTGATTTGACGGTCAGGTCTTAGCTTCAAGACATGATTTGCGAGTTCATGTTGTGAATTATAATATATGCATATCCTTGATGTTGAGAAAGCTAAAGGATTTTTTTTTGGTTACAAAAGCTAGAGGATTTTGAAATATGGGTTTTGATCCCAAATTTGATTGTAAAAGTTTTTGGATGAATTCCCACTGTCTATCGGAATATGCCTTAAGATCTTACTCTTGCTTCAGCAGTTCAGCTTTGAACCACTCCTTTTTATTTCCCACATGAATGTGATTGAAGGAATAGAATTTTTTTTAATGTGATGTTAAACTGAAATTTTCTTCCATTTCAGGCTTTTATCGCCCCCTGGTACTTCTCTTTTTCCTTCCTTAGAGATGGAGTCACAAAAGACTGTATTGAGTCAGATTGGCGCTCCTGAGGCTCGCCCAAATGCCGTTAAATCTAGAGTATGAAAATTTTCTAGATGCTATAATATGGATTACACACCTTTTGAAAAGTTTTAGATAACAGATTTGTAAATGTTTAAGACCTTATAGCTTTTCTAGTAATTGGATTCATGGACTTATTGGCAGTTGCTTTTGTTCATTGTGTTTACAGGTAGCAAATTCCCAACCAGAGCCTTCTGGGAGGGGAAACTTAACACTGAAGCCATCAGTTTTATCCACTGGGTATACTGGGATTCGCAGGCCCTCTTCCTCAGGTGGTTCAGGTTCAAGACCTGCATCCTCAGGGGGTCCAGGTTCAAGGCCTACATCTTCAGGGGGTGCAGCTTCAAGACCTGCAACACCCACTGGACGTTCTGCATTGACTGGAGCATCTAAACCTATGAGATCATCAACTCCGACAAGTCGTGCCACATTACTGTCAACTAAACCCTCCCTTTCTGCAAGTAAGCCTGTGACATTTACAACTAGGTCTGCAACAAAACCCGTAACATCCACGACGAAGCCCACAGTTCCTGCAGCCAGGACTGCATCTTCTGCTATCAAACCTGCAGTTTCTTCAAGATCCTCCACACCTACAAGGTCCACAGCTAGGCCTTCAGCACCAACTTCAAGACCCTCTATGCCTTCATCTAAACCCATATCGAGAGCAGCCACACCAACTCGTCGACCATCAACTCCATCAAGTGCTCCTAATATATCCACTCCTCCAATTAAATCATCTCATTCAGTAACAAAGCCAACACAGGCAGCATCTAGAAATTCTGTGCCATCACGTGGTGCCTCTCCAACGGTAAAATCTAGACCATGGAAGCCTTCTGACATGCCGGGTTTCTCGCTTGATGCTCCACCAAATTTAAGAACAACTCTACCCGATAGACCACTTTCAGCCACAAGAGGTAGGCCTGGAGCACCAAGTTCTCGATCTTCTGCCGTGGAACCAGGTCCTACTGGTAGACCAAGACGACAGTCATGCTCTCCTTCAAGAGGCCATCTCCCTAATGGTGGAATGTTGCATTTCAGTGGGAGCTCTGTTCCTGCAGTAAGTCGTGGGTATTCAAAAGTTAATGACAACTTGAGCCCTGTTGTAATTGGAAATAAAATGGTTGAGAGGGTTATAAACATGCGGAAGCTGGTACCACCAAAGCAAGATGATAAACATTCTCCTCACAGTAACTTGTCTGGGAAGTCTGTGTCACCAGATAGTTCAGGCTTCGGAAGAACGCTTTCAAAGAAATCACTTGATATGGCAATAAGACATATGGTAAGCAACTAAGTTGTCTGTGGCATACTGGCATTATCATTTATATTGCTTAAATTATGATCCATTAGGTGGGAATCTAACGATAAAATAATGTTGTTTTCAAGGTATCCCAAATCCTCTATTTAGTAGTTCATATTTGTAGGTGGATGATACAGTTTTGCCTTATCCCTCATTTTATTCACGTCAGTCTCAACTTTTGGCTTATTTTGGGCTGATACATTGAGAAATTGAAAGTTGAGGGGGAGCAATTGAGTTAATTCTTTCTTTGGTTTCAATATTATCTTGAGCAGGATATAAGGCGAAGAATTCCTGGTAATTTACGGCCACTGATGACGAATATTCCAGCGTCATCTATGTACAGTGTAAGATCAGGTCATGCACGGGGCAGAACAATTACTGTCTCGGATTCCCCTCTTGCTACAAGCAGTAATGCTAGTTCGGAGCTTAGTGTCAACAATAATGGCATTTGTTTAGACAGGAGTGAACTACAAGATGATATTGGAAGCGAGAGAGGTGCAAGATCCCCTGCCGAAGTTCATGCCAGATGACGGTAAGGTTGTATAACCATGTGATATGTCCATACATTATTGTTTTCAATCTACAATCTTTGACACTTGGAAGAGAAGCAACTTCCAAGATGAACATCATTGGGATTTTATTCCAATATCGATGTATTATTAGGGAAACTGGGTAGATGATAAAAATCTTTCTCCTCCAAATCCTATAACGTGAGTTGTTTAGTGCTAGCTTTGATATGGTGAAAGCTTATGAAACTGAAAACTAAAGATCAGCTCCCCAGTATTCCCAATTGGAATAAAGTTGCTTTGGAGGTAAAACTAAAGGTTATAGAAGTTGCAGTTAGCTACCACTTTTGGCCAGCTATCCTTGTAGAAATATTCTTAAGCTTTGTTGGGATATAATTTTCATTCCAGATGGATTTGAGGGTGCATTCTCTTGCATCGATATGATACATTTAAAATGTTGGAATGTTTCTTGTAGGGGTGTTCATTCGGTTAAAACCGAACCGAAATACCCTTAACCGAATTTTTTTTCTTTAACCGTTAACCGAACCAAACTTTTTTATGAAAGTATTAACCGAACCGAATAAATTTCGGTTAATTTTCGAATTAACCGAAATTTTTTAGAATTTTCGAATTTAATATTTTTTAATTAAAAAACAGTTTACAATATCTAATTAATTTGATTCAAATATTATATTAAACTAAGATATTTGTATTTATCAATTTAGTTCAAACAAACTAACAAGTTTAAAATTTTACAAAATAAATGGTGCATAAAGGTTGTGCTAGCTACAACTCGACAACCACTATTGTTAGGTGAAATGTTTGATTTTTCTGATGCTACAATCAAGAAGATAACTAGCTCCTTTTTGTAGGACTTACTACACTGGCCTCTTGAACATGAAGTGGATGAAGAAGGCAAGAAAGTTGTGATCAGAGATGGCATAAACCTAAGTTTTGCAATTGATAAAAATCTCAAACCAAAGCACATAAAAGTTCTCAAGATTTAACTCTGTAATTCAAGCAAAGTATGAACAAAAAGACTTTCTCCCAAGAGAGAGTAAAAATAAAGGGTTTCAAAATGAAGATAAAAGGGGGGCAAGGGTATTAGGTAATGCGTGAAAGAAAACTTTGTCCTTTTATGATTTGTTGTCGTTCCTTCTATCAGTGGAATATGGAATTTTTTTTATAACCGATCTCCACTCCACTACACTTTTGCTAATGCTCCACGCCTCCACCCATCGGGGAGTTCTGCGGTGCAGCGCCTAAAAAACGGTTAATATACGGCGTAACCGGTTAAACAAGTAATCGGTTAAAATTTAGACCGATTATGTTATATTATTTAATCGAAAATATTATAAAGTACAATAACATATTAGGTAGCACTTATATTTACTTATTTTATAAGTAAACCGGTATATTTATATCGATAGCATTGCAAATTTACCTATTACATTATAATATGTTGAAAGTGTCCATACTTTTTATAAAAAGGATCGATAGTTTTTTTAAAGTTATGTAATTTATGTTTCAATTTTTTTTAATAGTGTTTCATGTTTTCCACCTACAATATTAATTTAATAATTTAATTTGCACAAAAAATTATTTGATTGTTTTGATATTTTATAAAATAATATTTAGAATTTAAATTTAACAATATCAACCAAAGATAATAATAAATATGTAATATATATGTTTATTGTTTTTAATTTAATAATAATATATATCGTAACGTAAAAAATAAATCATTAGACGCCTATAATTATTAAATTAATATCTTAAAACTCACTCAAAAGATAACCTTAAATTAATATTTTCCACAGTGAAAAAAGTATGGACACTTTTATAAAAATGATAGATACTTTACAATATAAGCACTACCTATTACATTATATAAACGTTACCTATTACATTATATAAGCGTTACCTATTACATCATATTTTTACCTATTATATTGAAAGTGTCCATACTTTTTATAAAAAGGATCGATACTTCTTTTAAAGTTATGTAATTTATGTTTCAATTTTTTTAATAGTGTTTCATGTTTTCCACCTACAATATTAATTTAATAATTTCATTTGCACAAAAAATTATTTGATTGTTTTGATATTTTATAAAATAATATTTAGAATTTTTAATTTAATAATAATATATATCGTAACGTAAAAAATAAATCATTAGACGCCTATAATTACTAAATTAATATCTTAAAACTCACTCAAAAGATAACCTTAAATTAATGTTTTCCACAGTGAAAAAAGTATAGACACTTTTATAAAAAGGATAGATACTTTACAATATAAGCACTACCTATTACATTATATAAACGATACTTATTACATTATATAAGCGCTACCTATTACATTATATTTTTACCTATTATATTGAAAGTGTCCATACTTTTTATAAAAAGGATCGATACTTTTTTTAAAGTTATGTAATTTATATTTCAATTTTTTTAATAGTGTTTCATGTTTTCCACCTACAATATTAATTTAATAATTTCATTTACACAAAAAATTATTTGATTGTTTTGATATTTTATAAAATAATATTTAGAATTTAAATTTAACAATATTAACCAAAGATAATAATAAATATGTAATATATATGTTTATTGTTTTTAATTTAATAATAATATATACCGTAACGTAAAAAATAAATTATTAGACGCCTATAATTACTAAATTAATATCTTAAAACTCACTCAAAAGATAACCTTAAATTAATGTTTTCCACAGTGAAAAAAGTATGGATACTCTTATAAAAAGGATAGATACTTTACAATATAAGCACTACCTATTACATTATATAAACGCTACCTATTACATTATATAAGCGCTACCTATTACATCATATTTTTACCTATTATATTGAAAGTGTTCATACTTTTTATAAAAAGGATCAATACTTCTTTTAAAGTTATGTAATTTATGTTTCAATTTTTTTTAATAGTGTTTCATGTTTTAGTCTTACAATATTAATTTAATAATTTCATTTATACAAAAAATTATTTGATTGTTTTGATATTTTATAAAATAATATTTAGAATTTAAATTTAACAATATTAACCAAAGATAATAATAAATATGTAATATATATGTTTATTGTTTTTAATTTAATAATAATATATATCGTAACGTAAAAAATAAATCATTAGACGCCTATAATTACTAAATTAATATCTTAAAACTCACTCAAAAGATAACCTTAAATTAATGTTTTCTACAGTGAAAAAAGTATGGACACTTTTATAAAAATGATAGATATTTTACAATATAAGCACTACCTATTACATTATATAAACGCTACCTATTACATTATATAAGCGCTACTTATTACATCATATTTTTACCTATTATATTGAAAGTGTCCATACTTTTTATAAAAAGGATCGATACTTCTTTTAAAGTTATGTAATTTATGTTTCAATTTTTTTTAATAGTGTTTCATGTTTTCCACCTACAATATTAATTTAATAATTTCATTTACACAAAAAATTATTTGATTGTTTTGATATTTTATAAAATAATATTTAGAATTTAAATTTAACAATATTAACCAAAGATAATAATAAATATGTAATATATATGTTTATTGTTTTTAATTTAATAATAATATATACCGTAACGTAAAAAATAAATCATTAGACGCCTATAATTACTAAATTAATATCTTAAAACTCACTCAAAAGATGTATATACCTAAATATGTAGTTATTGTACATACCTAAATATGTAGTTATTGTACATACCTAAATTTAATGATAATATATACTTGTAGTTATTGTACATACCTAAATATGTACTGCGAATTTAATGTTGTACCCACCCTTTAACTACCACTACCAATGCCACATCCTATTGAAAGCAACACGACTGAAACATGTTCAAAATAAACCTTTGCTTACATCTCCATCAACTCCTGGAGCACTGAACTTGCACAACAAAATTTTTGCCATGGATAATACTGATGTAGACAATGTTAAGCCAACCGAGGAATGCCATGAAGTACATAATGTTGATGAATCTGACAGATTGGTTGGTCAGCTCTTCTGTTCACGTGATCAAGCTTGGTACTTTTACAAGGGATTCGCACGGGAACATGGGTTTAGTGCACGTAAGGGAACAACACGGCTTGACGTGGAAGGGAATGTGAAGACACAAGAATTTTGTTGTTCCAAAGAAGGGTTTCGAGTATCAAAAGTCAATACTGTTGATCGTCAACGTGCTCATACGCCAGTCACAAGAACAGGATGTAAGGCTAGAGTCATAGTTACAGCAACAAATACAAACGATCAGTGGGTTATAAGTAAGTCTGATCAGAAACATAATCATGCATTGTGCACACCTGCTATGACACCATTTATGCGTTCTAATAGAGCTGTAAGTAAGGCTGATATCGATGAGGCAACAACATTGAAAGAGGTCGGTGTTGGCACGTCACAAGTAATGAACTATTTAACGCAGCAGGCAGGGGGCTATCATAATGTTGGATTTACACATAAAGACCTCTACAATGCACTTCAAAGAGGTAAAGCAAAGGAAATCCTCGATGGGGATGTGAATGCGCTTATTGCCTACTTTGATTATAAGAAACATGATGATCCCGAGTTTTTTATGACATACTCGGTAGACGAATTGGGGGCATTGTATAATCTTATTTGGTCGGATTCTACATCGAGATTGGATTACACATGCTTCGGTGATGTAATTGCGTTCGACACAACATACAAAGATAATTTGTATGGTCGACCAATTATGCCTATTGTTGGTGTCAATCATCACCATAACACAATTGTGTTTGCCACTGCCATAATCGCTGATGAGACGTCTCAATCTTTCGAGTGGGTGCTACATAATTTTTTAGAAGCCATGATGAATAAATCACCTATTTCCGTTGTAACCGATGGGGATAGGGCAATGCAGAGGGCTATCAAATCTGTTATCCCTTATGCTAAGCACATATTATGTTCTTGGCATCTTTCTCACAATGCACAAGCTAACATTGGTGACCCAAAGTTTACAGCAGCATTCTCAAAATGCATGGCTTCCTGGTGGACAACCAAGGAATTTTATATTCAATGGCGTTCGGTTGTTTCAGAATTCAACGTCCAAAAGCATCTATGGGTGATTGAGAAGGGAAATACACGACACTTATGGGCACAAGCATATCTAACCGGTCATTTCTTTGCCAATATTCGCTCAACACAAAGGTGCAAGTCTATGAATGCTTCACTAGCTATTGCACTGAAACACAAGAAGACATATTTAGATGTTGTTCGTGCAATTGAAGATGGAATTAGTAGAATGAGTATGAACGAGTTGAAAGCGGATTACTTAAGTTCCCATACGAAGCCCTTCCAGATCACAAAACTGGTCGACCTTGAAAGCCATGCCGCTGCGATTTTTACCCGCGAATCTTTTCGTATGTTCCAAGATGAACTTATACGGGAGACATTGTACCAGATTGAGGC